TAGATACGCCTCTGATCTTCAAACACAAAACCTATCAAAATACCGTACTCAGCAAGACACAAAAATATAAGAAAGACGCATTCCTTGTTTCATATACTAGGACAATTCGTACACAAGCGCCTTCTTCCCTATTGCGATGAGAGCGTTGAATGGACTGCCTGAGTCAGCCGGGAAAACCAATGATTTGGCAGAATTTAAGTCATTTATTAACATGCATGACTTGATTGACCTAGGGACACGCTTAGGACGTGATCATCATCTTTGTTTTTTAAGGAACGTCTGTATTTTATAAGATAAGATGTGCTGAAATGGTTCAGCGAATCACATGCAGTCACAGAAACCCCAAATTAGAGTCGGTGGCCGAAATGACATTGGACATAAATTTTTTTTTACTCTAGTCGATGCCTAAAGTTTATTTTAAAAAAACAAAAAAACAAGATAGGCCTATACCTAACAAGAAAAAAACAACAACAAAACTAAGTAATGGTATTTATTAGTTTGCATCAGTCATGTAATTAAATTTGTTATTTAATTTGTGGGAAGCGTGGCAGAGAGGCCAAGTACGCTTGGTTACCTATGAAGGGTGGGGTGGGGGTCGAGGTTCGTCACCCTCCCAAGCAGAGTTGTTTTTACTGAGCGCCTAAAACCTTCTCCCAGATACCCCTCCCCCCGGTTCACAAACGGAAAAAAGCTGTCATGTGATAGCCATAGTGTATTAAGTAATTTGTATAGAAAAGATAGAGAATCACGTGACTAAATGTTGTTTGTTTACGATTGGTGAATGAGGTCCATTAGATTGTACCATTGCGCTCTGCAGCCTCTGAGCATACCATAAGCATAAAAGTAGCACTATAGAGCCTAAAAGCTATAAATCTTGACTAACAACAATAATAATAATACAGCAATAGGTTTAACCCGCCCTGAAAGTAATTGTCTTTTCTATTGCGAAGTTCAGACTGTTTGAACTGAGCTACAGACATTATCAAAGACACGATATATGCTCTCTCGCCTAAAAGAATTTTAAGGCCTAACTTCCATCAGCACACGATGACCCCCAGAAACGTAACCGGACTGGCCAGGCACTAACAAGTCTCAGAACGTTCCAGGTCAATTCAATGATAAATTTGAAATATAAACATTGAAGATCTACAGTGTCCTATCACCACCATTGTTTCTTTGATCCTATTGTAGTCACAGAACAGAAAAATATCTTATATAGTAATCTACACTAACTGACTTTTTTTTGTCGATATTTATACAAGACGAATAAATAATAATCTTGCGATTTATAAATGTAAGGGTTTTTTAAATATCTAAATACAGAGGTCAAAAGTGTGTCATGTGACCAGCCCAACTTCCCGCCTTCCTTTCCTTATTAAATGACATGTCCCCCTCAAACCACTCTAGACTCATCATCTTATCTTATATAATACAGACGTTACTTCAAAAAAAGATGATTACGTCATCCATATAAACCAATGACTTCAATTCTGCCAAGTCACTGGTTTTCCTGGCTAGCTCAGGCAACCCATTCCATGCTCTAATAGCACTAGGGAAGAAGGAGTATTTGTACAAATTTGTCCTAGCATATGGGACGAGGAATGTGCCATTATCTTTGTGTCTTTAAGAGTATTTTATTAAATTTTGTATTTGAAGATTATGGTTCAGTGTTTTATGTATAATTGCTACTTTACTTTTGAGTCTTCTGTCCTGAAGGCTTTCTAAATTTAGTGATTTTACTAAAGGTGTTACTCTAGTCAAATCTGAATATTCATTTGTTATGAATCTCACTGCTCTATTTTGTGTCTTTTCCATTTTCTTACTGTTTTCTTGAGTTGAGGTGTCCCAAACGGAGGATGCATATTCTATTATTGGCCCAACCAAGGTTAAATAACATTTTAATTTTATGTTCTTATTTGATTTATAGAAATTTCTTTTAACAAATCCTAATGCTTTGTATTATTTTTTTTATAGTTTCATCAATATGTGGATTCCATGACAGTTTTTCATTTATTATAACACCTAGGTATTTTGCGTTTTTAGTCTGTGTTACTGGTTTGCCATGAATAAGATAAGTGGAATTAATTTGTTTTAGTTTTTTTATTACTCTTAACAACTGACATTTTTCTGGGTGGAAAGACATGCTCCAATTTGATTCCCATTTCTGTAATTCATCTAAATCTTTTTGTAAAATATCTGTGTCTTGTGTTGTTTTTATTGTTCTATATATTATGCAATCGTCTGCAAATAATCTGACTTTTGATCCTGAACTAATGCAATTTGGTAAATCATTTATGTAAATTAAAAATAGTAGTGGACCCAAGACTGTTCCTTGAGGTACACCTGAGTTTACTGTTATCGGTGTTGATTTAGAGCTATTTATTATTACAGTTTGTTCTCTCCCTATCAGAAAATCTTTAATCCACTGATGCAGTGGTCCATTAATGCCAAAATATTGTAATTTTTTAAGCAAACTATGGTGGTGAACTTTGTTAAAAGCCTTAGAAAAATCTAGTGAGATAGCATCTAATTGTTCACTATTATCTAAACCTTTAGAAAAATCATCAATTAGTCCTATTAGTTGTGTTTCACATGATCTATATTTCCTAAAGCCATTATGTTTGTCTAAGTGGTTTATTGTGTTGCTACATATTATGTGTTCTAGGATTTTACATGTAATGCTGGCAAGTGATACTGGTCTGTAGTTTCCTGGGTCAGATTTTTCTCCTTTTTTAAATAGGGGGGTGACATTAGCTTCTTTCCAGTCCTTTGATACTCTGCCCTGGTTAAGCGAAGCCTGAAAGAGTATTTTGAACACTGGGGCTAGCTCATTGCTAAGTTCTTTGAGTAATCTAGCTGGAATACCATCAGGTCCAGACGCTTTATTTGGTTTGGTGTTGGCTAATAGTTTTTGAATTCCATTTTCTTGTACTACTATATCTTCTATGTTGTCTACTTGGTTCAAATTCAGTAACATGTCTTTGTCTCCTGGGGCTGAGAATGCTGATGCAAAGTATTTGTTTAGGATGTTTGCTTTAGTTTCATTATCATTATGTATTATGTTATGTTCATCTTTTAATGGCGCTATGCCTGTTGTTTCCATTTTCTTAGACTTAATGTATGACCATTGGTTTTTGTTGTTATCTTTAGATATTACATTGTTTATGTATTCACTCTGCAGCTGTCTGCTTACTTTTTGGGTTAAGTGTTTAATTTTTATATACTTTTTGTAAACTCTTTCTGCCTTAGTTTCTTTAAATTTTCTATATAGGTTTTCCTTCTGTTTACAAAGCTTCTTTAGTCTATTATTAAACCAGCATTTATTTATTTTGTTTAATGTGTATTTAGTTGGTATATGATTTTCTATAATGCTTTTAAGATGGTTTTTAATGAAATTCCAGAGGTCATCAACTGGTTGGTTAATGTCTTTTTCTAATAAGAATGTTTGTTGAAAGTTTAATGCAGCTTGGTGTAGTTGTGTTAGGTTACATTTATTCCAGAGTAAGATTTTTTCAAACTCAAATGTTATCTTCTAGACTTATCGATACCAGCATATCACTGGATTTGAAATTGATACCTTCCATTAAGCAGGCCAGCACTATAACACTCGGCCACGAACAACCATTATTTGTGGCTCAGGATCATTGGGATATATAATGTTAGCTTTCAAATTATTTTATTTCATCGTCAAATGTTTGTAAGAAATAGAAAATGAAATGATACAACACGGAGTTCATAACAACCAACATTTTGTATTGCTTTTCAATGAATGCATTCAACACTGTAATGACATCCAACAACAAGTGCTATATAATTATCATTACAATCACATTGTCATACTTCAAAAACACTTTCAGCAAAACTGGCCTTCACTTTTGCCTACTAAATAACTGTATCTATAAGCAATAGCAAAACTAAGCTAAAATAAATTTTCACCAAAAAAACAACAACTTTGGTTTTAATTTAGATAAAAATTGTTCCGCCTTTGAGTTTAATTTTGTTTCCAAAGTTAGATGTTAAAAAACTAAAAGTCAGACTACAAGGGTTTCAATTAAATTCTGTAGTAGCTAAGAGTATTTGCAGATTTCTTCTGCTAAGCATCCTAAATAAAAGGTGAAACAAACGAATATTCACATTTGGTCAGAGCATAGAGCTATAAGTAAAATCACTAGAGAGTCTTCAGGACAGAAGATTAAAAAGTAAAGTAGCAATAATACATAAATAAAACACTGAGCAATATTTTACAAATACAAAACCTAATTTAAAAAGAAAAAAAAACTCAGACACACAAAAAAGGCACAATTGCTAGGACAAACTTGTACAAGTGCTCCTTCATTCCTAATGCTATTAGAGCATGTAATGGGTTGCCTGAATCAGCCAGGTAAACCAGATTACAAGTCTCTGAATTAACACATAGATACATGTAGAACGTAATTTTCTTCTCTTTTGAAGTAACTTCTTTAATATATAAGATCTGAATGTCCGTGTTCACCTGTAGGAAAAGCCAAGAACGGCATAAATCTATGAATATGTTGTTGAAACAGCTTCAAAACCATTCTGTCTGACCAAAGACTAAGAGTAGGAGAACTTGATTGCTAATTCTAGCTCCTTGAACAAAAGCATTACTTTGCTCCATCTATCAATGCTGATATTTAACCTACCACCAATAAAAACACATTTTTTATTCCATAGTTTAGAACTTATTTAGATAAGGATTCTTTCTTACCAAGAGTCATTAAAGCAAGGAACATGTTGCCAGAATCAGCAAGGAAAATAAGTAGAGTTTAAATCTCTATTGAACTTGAATAAACATGGGAGATGTTATGATCTGTAAGTTAAGATTTCCCAACATTTGATTCGGGTGTTCACTTCTAAGCCCTGGAAACAAGTACATCAATGTGTATAAGTTTCACTAGCAATCTAGGCACATAAAAAAACAACACAGAAGAACAATCAAATGTTTAATTAAAAAAAAAAAAAAAAACAATTGTAACTAAAAGACAAAAACTAATAACAATTCATTGGGGGGAGGGGGGGGGGCAACACAAGTTAGTCTAGCATTACAAGCCTAGATAAATGACATAAATACCTTAACCATCACAGTCAACATAAAATGAGGACATTTAAGTCATACAATACGAGCATGTCTTTTAGTTATCTGTCAGCTTCCCAGAATCAAGTTGGCAGTGTTGGTGAAAGCAAATAGAAATGTATGAAACAATTTCAATTGAATAAAACAGGATAAACAGAGTAAGTGTAAAATTGGATGTACTTTATATTCAAGTGCCCTATGGTTAGATTCAATGCTTCTTTCATTGTATCACATGAGGCTGACAACAATTTAAAAATAGGCAAATATGAAAATGCTTTTAAAAAAAAATACCAAAACTTATCTAAGGAGAAGAACCACCCCACTCATTTACAACTATATATCTCAATAATGTAGAATTTATTTCCCCTTTTCAATATCAAACAAAGTAATTAATTACCTAATTAATTGACTAATTAGTTAATTTTTAAAGTGATTCAGGTTTTGTCAGGTACAATAAATAATTGTTAAAGTTTCAACTTGATCCAGTAATGGATGTGGGAGAAATAATATTCAAAATTTGTACCAAACAAACAGTGAGTTGATATAAGCTTCGTAAAGACAGAAAAACTCAGAACTAATACAAAACATACTAAATGTAATTAATTTTTAATGCAAAGACTGGACATAGAGATGAGGTTGTGCTCAAATTCCATCAAGGGGAAGTTTCAGTTTCAATTATTGGATGTGTTGCTAATGTAACTAAAGAAATCTCAAACAAAACAAGAATTGTTTGCTTATTAAATTCCTAAATAATTAAATTGTAAGAGACAATATGGGAATAATATGTACACCATTTAGGATCTCAAAAGTTTTAGAAAATCAAATCGTTGGTAGCTAAGAAATTGTCACCACCTTAAAGTTGGTGCGTACAGTAGGACACCCTATTTAGATATTTTGAGTTTCATTCACAACTCATGTTTCTGGGAGTGAATACGTTTAACCTTGAGCTATCCAGATACAAGACCATTTGTCATAGAAGGCCTCAACACTGACCTGCAACATCACAACCAATAAGCAGTGAAGACTAATAGCTTGTTGCCATGTTGAACAGACCCATGATGTGGCTCCAGTGCCCACAGGTTGTGACATTGCAGGTCAGTGTTCAGGCCTTCTATGACAATTGGTATCCCTTGATAGCAGTCAGTAGAGGCCAGTCAATGAAAGCAGTCATTGTAAGGAGGTTTTTATTTTTTCCACTCTTTTATTAGGCCAGAAACATCAGACTCTGTAATAAAACATTTAAGTGATTCATATTACTATGTAGTCCTTGTAGTTATATATTTATCAATTACAACTTATGAAAAATGAATAGAGGAATTTATAAAACAAAAAATAAACAAAATGTAAGCAACATCTAAGAAGCATCTTTGCTATGAAGCACCATTAAGTGATCAAAAAAAAAAAACCAACTACATTAAATATTTCCATAAAATGAAATAACCAGTTTAAACATTTCAATTATTAAAGGTGTCTATCTTTAAAAAAACAAAACATAAATAATGAGAACAAAGTCCAGACACCTAAAGGTCACAAATAGATAGGACAAAATAAAATGTTTAAAAATATTGACTCATTTTGAATACGACAACATTGTGTGTGTTTGGTTGCTTTTAAAGCCCAATGGAGCATATCAGAGTAATGAATGAACGATAAAGCTTGAAAAAAAATTACTTTAAAAAATTACCTTTGGAAAAGTTTCCCATATATTACAATACAGAGTCATTGATTGGGAAAAAAAAAGGGTGGTAGGGTTAGAACAAAAGATTCATAAAAAGTGAACAAGTATATGTGTATTTGTTCACAACCAAGTAACACAACATTATAGTTAGGCTCCTTACAGACAACTGACAGAGTGTTTGTGTTCTTAGCTTATTATTTGTTCCTTTTTAATAACATTAATTGCTTTCTACATTTTAATGTTCAAAAACAAACAAAAAAGATCACTAGTTTAACATGGAACTTATTACTTTGACATAGCTTAGCCATTTTAAGACCGAAAGAAATTCATGTGCTAAATATTTGCCCTGATGGATCCCATAGTCTTTGAGTCTGTCAGACAAATATTCAAATGAAAGTCTAAGAGTTCAATAAACAAACAGCCAATCAAAGTATCTCAAAAAAATATGGCAACTATCATCTCTACAAGTTACATAAGCCAGAGATCAATTCTAATGTACTAAATTATTGTAACAAATATTTATTCACATTGTATTAGGCCTAATCAAATTATGAGAATAATGGAATGTCAACAAGATGTGTTTTTTTTTTAATGGAATGATGTACTGTGCCTGCAGAAAAAAAAAGCATTTCATTGAGCCCAGAAAGTAAGAACCAAACTAAGAATTTGGTTGTACAGTTGGAATCTAGAAGTAAAGACCATATAGTAGCATGCTTGTTTCAAACACTGCTTAATGATGCCAGCACCCCACCATTCTACTGTCAGTTTCAATGTTTTGTACAAAACTACTGTGTCATTATTGAAGTTTTACTTTCAAGGTATCTAAAAGCTGTTTGTTTCAAAAAGCAGGTGACAAATGTCACTACATAATTTAAGCATAAATACAATACAAAACTGGCTCTGTCGTAATGGCCTTTCTATAAAAATAAGGGAATATTATGTACTTTCAGCAAGTCAGCTACAGATTTAAAGGAATGATAGTAAAACTATATACTTAGCACTATCAGCTAAAGAGCTTATAGTGACTTATCTTCCACAGGCGTCTAACATCAAGCAAAGAAACAAAAATATAAAATTAATAAATATCATGCTCCCTACAAGATGGAATTATGAATATCTAAAGATAAAAAAAAAATTATTTAAATAACAACTTTGATTAGCTCAACAGTTCTGGCCTTAATAAAAATATACTTTCAATATTAGCTGGCTATTAGGTTACTAATGACATTTTTTTCCCTTGTGTATAGGGTTCAAGAGATTGTAAAGGCACAAGCATTGCCCCTAATGACAGCCTGTGGAGTTACATAATTTTCCACCATCTACTGTAACTTAATATATTATCATATCTTATATAAAGTTATATCCACTGTGGGTGTCACAAGGAAGGTGTTTTATGCCAAGTAAGCATAGATTGACATATTTCAGCAGCAGATGTCCAACAGTTTTCTTATCCTCCAATAAGTCATTGCACATCTAGAGGACAGTTGACCCTGTGGAATAGGCTGTTCGTAATCAATGCTACAATGCTAGATTATTTTTACCAGCTAGTCAATGGTGACTAATTTTACCAAGAGATCAAGTCAGAATGGTCAACACATTTAATGCCAATTAGAAAAGAAATGACCGTCTATCTCAAGCTAGTGTTCTAAAAAGAGGTCCCATGCCAAAGTACTTCCTGTGCAACTGGTACCAAATCAGGGCTTGTAAAGACACCTGATGACCAACTATGGTAGCTGAAGTAGGCTGCTCTACTGACGATCCTCAGTAGTACTCAAAAGAAGTTTATCAGCATGCTGCAGGTGTACTCATAGAGAATGTGTACTCACACAGTTCTGACTCAGACACCCTGATCACTTTATCTTCAAGTCCACACAAGAGGTAAATCTGAAGAAAGAAATACTTGAAGATAGAAGCTAACATTCTTGTCTCCCCTCTTTTCCCCCATTCCTTAACCCTTCTTCCCATACAATAAAAACATGTTAACTGTGTCCCAGAATTAAACTTGTTTCAACATATTCTTATACATCTACTGGAGCTATTTTGAAAGGCTGCCTACCATTAAACAACAAAAACACATATCTCTCTGATAAAAATAAGACATAGAACGTGTAAGAAACATTATATGCATTAATAACACTAGGCTGAGAAGTTTTAATGAAATAAGTAAACATTTCTTTTTGAAATCTAAAAAACTGCAATTTTTTGGTTAAGCAGCATCACTAGATCTCAGCTCTATTCTATGTTAAAGGGTGGCAGTGTTAGGCCAAAGGCAGTTTTTGAAACAAACTTTAAGTCATGAATGAGCCAGGTCTTTAGCAGTGTTGAGCTAGGCCTTGGCTAGTGTAGAGCCATGTTACAGTCACCTATAGCTAGATGTTCCTGGACTTGTGGCCATATCTAAGTGTGTATGCCGTGCCCCCCATTTTCATGAAATCGCCCCACCACCCTCCCAGGGAAACATTCACCCCAGTTGAAGAAAACTGTTATAGAGAAATGCTTTATGACAATCAATCAAAATCCCTTTCCAAATCTATTCTACATCTTAGTCCATGTCAATAAAAACATTACATTGGTCTTCAACCTCTCTTCTTCCTCCCTGCAGAGCACTAGACTCTTGGCCTGAACTGTTCTAAATAGGAATCAACTGACAATAGCTATTCTTCACTGGGCTATGATAGCTTGTTCAGTCCTAGATCAAATCTAGCTTGGGAAGGTCTGTTCAAAGCATATGCTAAAGTTTTTTTTGGTATTAGTCCTAGCACTCAAACCACTTGTCCTCCCAAATTGATCTTATCTCAATATTATTATTTTTTTATCCAACTTCCAAAAAGAACAAAAGTTAAAAAATAATTATCTTTTATTGTTGTTTCTACTTGGATCATTATTGTCTCCTTACCTTAGACCTTCTGCCTCTTCCAAAAGGGCATAGATTGGAATCCCCTTGCTCCATAACTAAGAGATGCTCTCCGTTCTCTGAGCCCAAAGAGGGGGAGCGACCAAGTATGACAGCTGGGTGAGGGAAAGACTCTTGGCTGACTTTAACAAATGGACACACATTGTATTCGTAAACATCTGCCTTGATCTTGTAGCACTGCTTACTTAAAGGGTAGAATATACCGCCTGGACCATAAGCCTGGAGAAACAACAAACGATCCTATTTTATTTATTACAATAGGAATAAGCAAGACTATTGGTAGGGCAGAAGCATATGAACATGAACGTTAAGGTAA